CTTACCATCAGTTGGGCCGTATGCTTGTTTGTTACCTCAGTGGTATAAAAAAATATTTTGGGAGTTAACAACATTAATACGTTTTAAGATAACTATGTCTATATTAAAAAAAAAAAATAGATAAATATTTGATGATATCAGCCGTTACTGCCCACTGCTGAACGTGAGACTAATAAGGGGGTGCCAGCAGTTGCCACACATGAAAGGCGGGTTGGCAGCCGCAGTTAGACTTTGGTGATGTTTTAAGAGGGATGCTGCTGTCTCGCCCATAAAGTTCCACTAGTCGCCTCTTACGACACTCACGGGAAAGGAAGGGGTGCACATTCTTTGTCGGGACTGCACAGCAAATCTTTATTATAAATATAAACCTTATTATAGTGTAATTAAAAACTTTTTACGTTAGTTGATGCTATTATAATAAAAACGCTTACTAAAATTACGTATTCTTAAAATGCTAAGTAAAAAAAAGCATAATCGTGATATACTATAGATTAAAGTGATGTATATTTAATCTAGTTCTAACAACACGCGGCCATTCTGATCTTTTCTGGTCTTGGACAGAGGAAGTGTTGCAATTGTTGATAGTACGATTTACGAACATACGGCTGATACCAAGCTTTTGAAGTGTCTGGAATATGAACCACGGCTCCATACCTACTTTGTGCAAGGCGATCACTGTCTATTTTCTTTAGCACCCCATTCCTTATTGTAATTTGATAATGAACACGAAAAAATATGTGAAATGGCGCGAAATCGAAATAAGTTTTTAATATAATAAACGCGTTCCAAGTTCAAATTAATTAAAAAGTTAAAAAAAAAAGTTTTTATGTAACAGTATTTATTGCCAGACTTATTATATTTAATTATCTCAATCTTTAGTCAAATATAACAAAGTAATAAGAAATTGTAATTAAATTTATTGCTATACTATTGTAATCTTCGCTATAATATCGTTTAATATAAATAAATTAATCAATACAACTCAGATATTACTTTCATAGTTAAAAAATGTTCAAATTATTTCGTTTTTCTTTTTACATACAGCACTATCCAAGTACATTAAAAATTTATCACAAATATAAATTAACTATATCCTACATCAATACAAATATAAATTTAATAAAAAGATCCGTCTTTTTAAAATTTCATTCAAAATTATTCAATCATTTGTGTAGATATTGAGTAAAAAACATGCAAAATAAACTAAAAAAACTATTCCGACTAAAAGTACTAACTGTAATCCGTAGCTTAAATCTTGTTAAATAATTTAAAAGTGTCTTATATATTTGTCGTGTGATCCCGGTGTAGAATGGGTCACGCCTTCCTTTCTCATGGGCGATATAAGAGGCGACTAAGGGAAGTTAATAGTCGAGAGCCTGCCAAGCGTGGCAACTACTGGCAAAGCCTCCCAATAGATGGAAGCCTATGTTCAGCAGTGGACAGTTAACGGCTGACATGATAATAACAAGCTAAATCCGTGGTTGATTTAAAATATCCTAGTATCTCTAGTAGAATTTTGCAAAGCAATGATTTTCATTTCAAATTATACCACAATGTGAACTTACAATTAGTAAGGGAAAGGGGATACCGATACGAATGCACGCAACAAGTAAAGTTACCTGAATACTCATTAACAACATGGGATTTATTAAATCAATAGTTCCATGGTAAAGCTGGAAGCATAAAACCCATGGCACACTATGAGCTATGCGAACCTAACTTCATTTAGCTTGGCGCGTAAATTTACAGCGGTATTTTATACTTTTCACTATGCGAACTACAGAGCAAAGATAAACTAAACCATGTGAGCTAGAAAACCGGCGAAGCCAGCTTAATTAACACTCAATCTAGAAAAGAATTACTAATAACAGGGACTAGCAACTCCATTCTTGCCAATATATTCCATCAGATCGACCTCCACAGAGTCTATCCTGAAAGCCACTGTGGTATGTAATATATTAGTCATCATTAGTATAACTAGTCATAATGAACCAGTAAACCTAGCTTCATTCCCACCTATCATCCTTCACTGGTATCTCACACACAAACCGATAGCTCAGACAAGGTTATCATTATCGTCCAAAAAAGGAAAAGTAATGCTCTTTTCGCATGCGTGAAATAAAAACACCACTCCTTAAAACGAGTGCCTATTTGCAGCCAGTGTCATACATCGACATACGCGTATTTCATATATATATATATGTATGTATATTCATGTAGTTAGATGCATTCTAAATAGAGTGAGCTAAATAAAAAAAAATTTGCTTAGCTTAGCTTAGCTTTCAGTGTGACCGATACTTTATGCATCGATAGCGGCAACGCTTTGGCGAAGTATAATGAATTATGGCTTGTAACAGTATTATGCATTTATGTTGAGTCTGTCCCAGATTATAGCTACATACTTTTTAAGCTACTTAATAAGAAAGAGGTACTCATTTCCTCTCTATTATTTTTGTTTTTACTTAGAATTTTGTAAACAATACAATTTAATCCAGTATTAGTTCTGTAGTTTTACAACAATTTAAACAGTCGTTTTTGTTTACTAATCTAAATGTAGTCGCGCGATTACACTTTATAAATTTAAATATTTTAAATTTAATGTCTGAAAAACGTCCTGTCGTTTATCAGTGCGTTATTTATTTTAGTTTAAAATGTCGCTTCAACTGCTAAAATTAGTTTAAAAGAAAAAAAACATCATAAATGGACTGTATTTGTGACCCTTATGGACTGAAAAATATAAAATAAATATTTTTGTATGAGAATCACTATTGTGGATTACTTTTAATAAATGGCGTTAAGACTGATAATCGCTGATCTAAAGTTATAATAATATAAACATACTGTAGGTGATACGAAGTTCACCGGGTCGTCTAGTAGGTATTTGATATCATCATAGGTGTCGATAACATCGCCTTAGTTCAACAACAATGCTAACTTTGTAACAAGTACAGATAGGACATAAAAATATTTATACCTTAAGATTTTATTTCTTAATAATTTTAAATTATGTTTCACAAAAAAAAAACACTTCAATTGTGTCAAAACCAGTTATTTTGATCTAAAATCTAAACTATTGTAAATCTAAAATAATCTTTTTTGATAAATTTTCTATGGAACCAATTTGTAAAGATATTCTTTCAGATAAAAAAATAATTTTCCAAACTGACGGAATTATGAGATAATAAACATAAAAAAATACAACCGATTTGAAAACCTCCTTTTTTGCAGTCGGTAGAAAATAAATGGTGACGAAATTAGTAATGTCTATGAGGGAATCAACATTGATTTTATTCTGCAAATAAAAACAGCATCATCAATCATGACGTAATTAATGTTGATCAACACGAGTATAAATCATATTGAATGCAAAAATAATTATTACTCAAAATTGGGAAAACCGTCGAGTAAAAATCCACAAATAAAATAAAGATTAATTTAGAGTCACCTCTTTTCAAAAATCGCCAAAAAATATGGTTGAATTGAGAACCTACGCTATCCACGCTGAATGCGCTTGCTTCCTCTAAACAGATCTACTCCAGCTTCAGTTTACCGTCAAACGTTGTGGAGTTCCTGTTCGAAATGAAGCAAAAAATAGATGTGACAAAGTTATATGACAATTGAGTTACAATTAACTTAAAATAAATAGGGGAGAAGGAGTCAGTAACAGGGATTAACACCTGTTAATCTCTATTACTAAGAACACTTTCTCCTCCATACACTGTCAGGTCGACCTCCACATGGTCCCCCTGGAAACTATTGTAATTAATTCTTGATAAATTAGTCAGAATGAGCCAACTGACCTACTTACATCGTCACTTATCGTTCCTCAGGCAAGATACGAGTACTATTTATTGTCTACGTATACTGTTAGCGCAGGCGGCGTAACTAATCTCTTATTATTCTTAAAAAAAAAGAATATAAGTAATACTAAAATAATAATTTAATTCATTATTTTATTACTTTCTTAAACAACTCCATTGAAAATCAAGCATACGGCTCGCCTTACGGAAGCATTGCTCGCACAAAAAATGCGGTCCTAGTTTATGATGCACCATTTCTAAATAACTACTAAGAGTAACTAACCACAATAATATTTGATAAAAGTCATGTTATTTTATAATTAAATAAGTCAATATTAAATCATTATCAATATAAATTTAATTACAATTTAACAACACAACTAATTAATTAATACAACTGATACCATCAAGAGACTCCCGACTTAACCTTCTTTAAAAAAAAATTTTAATGGTCCCTTTTATGCTATAAATTGTGGCAGTAAATACTATCTAGTATTCTCATCTACGTGTATAATATAGTATATTTTATATATGTTTAAGTATATTTGTTATTTACATATATTTATTTGTTCATACATGTAAATGTATGTATGTATATCCATTATTACCAGTATCGCATTCGTGTATTCTGACACTACCCTTAGGTTGACTGCCAGAGAATGCTTTTGACATTACGTCCGCCATGTACACATATATGTACTAATGAATAAATAAATAACAATACAACAATGGTAACACACACAAATTCTAACTACTCAGTTAAAAATAGCAGTGAAAATATTTTTCTGTCAATACCATAAGAACATATAAACATCCCTTATTGTTTCCCCATAATAAGGTCGTTGTAGCACAACATAACTAAGCTGTGAAAGGTGGTTCGAAATAGCGTTTTCATTAATTTTTTATTCCTCTTGTTATTTCAGTAAAAAAACTTTATTTATTACCCACTCTATTTACAGACAGTCTTCAAGGTTATGCTTTTAAATTTAACAAAATTACAATTGAACTAATGTGAAAATATTTGTGTTATATCTAATTCTATTATGCAACAAACATGTTCATATTAATTAGTCGCTAATTCCGTAATGAACATATCCAAACCTTGAACACGAATGTCTACGAGTGTTATTAAGTTAACGCCATTAGCACCGAGTTAACGGAACCCTCGGTAATTATGTTTGTAATAAATCGTACACAGACCCATATTATCTGAGTTGCTGCAGGAAGGGCCCGGGAGGCACAGGAAGGCGAATACGAGCACGAGCACCGCTCCACACATGTTCAAACAAATCTATTATGCGTCCACGACGTAATTACTATCTACTTTTTAAAACAAAAAAAGTTCAACCACACTTTCCACTTTCCAAAAAGTTTCATTGCGTCGACTAAACAAATCGATTATAACGATAATAATCGCCAATCGGCCTCAATGGATCGTTGCTGAAACTGTCAAAGTGTTCAAATTTCGAACATCGAGAGCCACGTGACGTTTATCACGTGATGATAACATTCAACCGCGTGTCACCTAGCGTCGGGGTAACAGGGGGCGTGTGGCCACAATGAGTCCGGACGTTCGACTGACGCGGCACCGAGTTACAAACGCCATACGACTATTGGTCACGACTCACAGCGAGCCATCAATTTAACTTGACGTTTCAATGAAAACCCTCCCTTTTTTTCCCCCGGAGTAAAATTACGAAGTTTTGTCGTTTAAAATAAAAAAAAATCGAATCGATTCCAATTCTTATTATACTCGATTTTAAGTTTGGAATGGTACCTATGTATCAAAATATTAAGTAGGTAGTCATAGTCGTTCTAAATACCTAATAACTTATATCGAAATTTTATCCCATTCGATATTTTTGCCTCTGTTATCTTGCTAACAATGTATTTCTTCAACAATTCGTCTTTTTTAAATTGTAACAAAATTTTAAGGCTTTATAAAAATATTGAAGATTCTACATTAAATGTATATCATAAGCAATAAATAATACGTAAGGGATTTAATAAGTATTATAGTACTTATATACTTTGATGTTCACGCCTATATATTATTTTTCATCAGGTGAACACAAATAATTGCCGATTTTCTTATCAAATTTATATTATAATATTATTCTAATAAAGAGCAATTTTTTATAGTTCTAAACTCAAAGTTCTCAATAAAAAAGCAGAGTTTTGTTTTTCATACATTAACTTAGGTAATGGAAACTAAATATTTTTATATATTCTCTTCTATAATACAAACTAATAGGGGGGAAGGGAATGTTAGTAACGCGGGCTACAAGTTACATTGCCAGCAATACACCCTGTCAGGTTGACCTCCACGCGGTTCCCCTTGGAAACCATCGTGCTGAATTTCGGATGTATTCATCACAATGGGCTAACTCACCTGCTTTTTCATTATCCGCCTATCATCCCTCACTGGTGCCCCGCCAATGTATACCGTTAGCGCAAGGGTTACCATTACATTATTACCCATTAAAAAAAATACAAACAAATAATTTAAAACCATAACAAATAATAAATTTCTCGTAAGAGAAAATATTTTTGGTCTTATCGAAGAAATTAATTTCTATAATTATTAAGAACTAGTCTTTACCCTCGACTTCATCTACATAACTAGGAATTATTAATTGAACAGAATAAAACAATTACCTATATCCTCTATTATCGCAAATAGTACATATAAACTGCATTTTATGACAATTTATCGAATCCTTAAAGCGCCAAAAGATCATAGGCAAACATTGAAACAAACTGAGTTTCACATTGATGATATTATTATAGTAAGGACTAGTAATGAGTTAATTAATATAACTGTTAGTTTAACTAATCAGTTGTAACTGACTTTACGCTATTCTAATTCGCTATTACCACGAGATAAATGAGATGGTATGGTGTCTGACAAGAACATGAACTAGTATACAAACTACTATATATTCAAAACAATTCGTCCCAATTTAATAAAGCGTGATTCCTAATTACATTCAACTTAGATTCTAAACAGAAACCTATTTTACAGAAGACAATTTGTACATTAATATGGACTAATATTATTACTCAAAATGTCCCCTCTTTTATGGTATAAAGCTAGAAGACCAGAGGGAAACTTTGTACAAAAGTCGATTACTTGGGTACCTCTGTCCCATTCGTGTTTCTACCGTAAAGCAGTTGTGTTTGCATGGCTGTGTTTCGGTTTGAAGGGTAGAATATGGTGTGAATTTACTGGGTACAGAGGAATAACACCTGAGTCCTCAGGAATGGCAACGCATGGGAGGTATCATGGGCGAAACAGTATACTCTGTTATGTCCCTGGTACTGCTCATGTCTATAGGCGACGGTTACCGCTTTCCATCAGGTGGGCCGTCAGCTTGTTTGCCACTCTAAGTTGTATAAAAAAAAATAGAAGAACGTGCATTTGTCAAAAGTTTTTGATAGATTTTTAAAATATGATAATATATTATAGTAGTCACGACTTTAATCCGAAACATTAAACCTGAGTTATATGCATATCGTTCCAATATCTATACATTGCATTGCATACAGACATTGATGGCGGAAAAAGGTAATCCATTTCGATCGGTCGGATTTCTATTTTCTAATATGTAAAAGTCTATTATCCAATAATATTTTTTAGATAACAGACTTTTAACATAATCGTTATTGGACCAGTATATATATATTGTAACTACACTATATAGATATTGCTATATGCTACCTACCCCTAGTTAGAGGTAGTGGTCACCTGTTACCGTTATAGTAAACATTATAATCGAAATACCTACATTTCGCATTCTACTTATATTCTATTTATTAGTACTTGTTACACTTACTTGTTAGTACTTTTTAAGAGTAACATATATATACTGTACAATAACCACACCCGTACCAAGACCCCATATCAGCCTCGTGACAGGCAGCGAGTCTACCGCCGTCAGTCGGATTAATTTGGTTTATTATCGTTAATGATTATGTAATGTAATAAGTATATCTGAATATATATAACATACTTATAAAATATTATCATTAACAATCAGGTAAAAAAAAATATTATAAATAAATCTTAAGTAATCCGTAAAGGCCGTGTGATTTCGGCATAGAATGAACCACTCCTTCCTTTTCCGTAGGTGTCGTAAAAAGCGACTAAGGGAACTTAATAGTCGAAAGATGAGCAACTACGTCTCTTTTAAAACATCGCCAAAGTCTAACTGCGGTTGCCAACCTGCCTGCCAAGCACTGCAAGCGGCACAACCCGCCAAAGAATAGAAAAATACGTTAAAATTACCTTTTTATCAACACAAACACAATATTCGTAATTGATTGATTCATACTTGAATAACATTACCATTGGTAGTCAGTAAAAAGACACATTATCGTCATAAGCCCCTATTTATTTGCCTTAATTAGAAAAAAAAACTCTGGTAATTATCCGTAACCGCCATAATACAAAAATAAGAGAATATTAACGCAAACACCATTCGTAACGAGCTTTATTGCTCTACTTTTGTAAGTTCACCTCATACAAATGAAACTTTGGGGCAGATTGACCTAAATTATAAAATATACTAGCCAAGCTCACCTAAAAGCTTTGTTATTACAGGCCGCATTATTATTTCAAGTATGTTTCTTCGCAACGTTTTTAAATTTTTACCATTATTTTGATTTTCTTTTTAGAAAAACAACAACTATTTCACATTTATTCCTTTTCTTTTCTTTTTAACTTATTTTATGTAAAAGGACATTTAAGTGATTGACTACTTGACTATATAGGCTAGTCGTGGCCGACATGACTAGACCCCAGATCTACTATTTATTGACGAAACCCTGTGCAAACTACCAATTACATACTTCTTGAAATCTCAAATGAAACAACATTGTTCATCGCGTGCCGAAAAAAAAAGAGAGCCACACTGCATAGAAAAGAAGATAAATAACGTGACGGAATGGCAATTAAAAAATTATACAAAATGACGCGTGCAGCAGTTGGTGATTACGTTGCGCAGTATTTATATTTATATTTTGTGCCTTGCCACGATCGACTGGACTAATAGTCAGGATCGATCGGTCGATCGCGATCGACCGCTTGGCCACCCCTGATATAATCAACAAGTTTACTTCTACCGATATTTTACTGGTAATGAACAATCTACATTTATTATTACATTTTAAGCTACAAGTTCACTTGTGTTTACGATGTGGCTTTAACTGTTTAATTATGGTATTATTTGTACCTACAACATGTAATCAGTGTTCTATGAGTTGTAATTGTGACGTCTGACTGTACCATAATAATAGTAAATAGGCTAAAAATGTTATGTAAGTCGTTTATTTTCAATATTATATGAATACTTCCATATTAACAACATAAAAACACTGAAAATCGCTGTAACTCCTCGGCTGCAGCATAAGGCTGAGGACCATTTCGGCAAACATTGCGTAACATCTTTATCTCCTATACATGTTATTTCACTCTGTATGAACCTTTTGTTGTAAGTATAACAATGTTTGCTGAAGAAACTATTATTTATTTATGTATTTATTTACTAACTGTAATCTACAATTTTACTTGTGTAATATAGGATAAAATAAGTTTTATGTCAATCGGTAATATAATATATTTATTTTTATTCAACCAAATTTTATCCAAAACCATCCAGCCGTTTAATCGTAACTGTAGAAATAAACATTTAAATATCTTTACAAACTTTTGAATATTTAAATGAAACATGAAAATTTAAGAGAAATGAATGTCTCAAACTTCAAAATGTCACATTTACATAAAATGGTAAATATTAAATTTGTCACCAAATATTAAATTGCAAATTAATATGCAACGTTCATTAGCAAAAAGAAGTTTCCAATTTCATCAATCGCTTTCAATTATGATCGGTTATTCTCTTTAATATCCATAGCAAGCTTCGTAATTGCATTAAGAAATTTCGTTATTTTAGGATACTTTATTAAAATTTTAATTTTAACGACTTAGAAAAAGAGGTTCTCGTTTAAATTTTTTTTATATGTTTCTTTCTTTCTCATTAATATCTCTCACCTATTTTGAGCCGACATTGCTATATTTTTTTGCAATCGATAAAATGGAAGAAGGCATTTCCATGATGGTCTCATATAAATTTTCTCACAACTATAATTGTATAAGCAATGGTTATCATACCACAACCTTGAGAACAAAGTTCCTCAGGGTACAACCCTATAATACAACAAATCTTCCTAGACCATAGTGCATTTTTCTGTAAGAATAGAATTTATCAAAACCTTTGTCTCTATAAAAGGGAACTAAAGAAACAGAGCACAATATAATAATGTAAGAAAAGATAACTGAAAATAAAACCCTATACCAAGCCACCTGGCCAGAATAGGTAGGTAGCAGGTGAATTTACTGGGTACAGAGGAATAACACCTGAGTCCTCAGGAATGGCAACGCATGGGGGGTATCATGGGCGAAACAGTATACTCTGTTATGTCCATGATACTGCTCATGTCTATAGGCGACGGTTATCACTTTCCATGAGGTGGGCCGTCAGCCTGTTTGCCATTCTAAGTTGTATAAAAAAAAAGATGGAGTAGTAGACAAACAAGCAGACAACCCGCCTGATGGGAAATGCTATCATCGCCCATGAACACTTGCAACACGAGGAGAGTTGCTCGTGCGTTGCCAGCCTTTTAAATATTAGTACGCACGTTTTTTGAAATATGTATCCCATGTTTAAATTGTAAGGGGAAAACAGGTAAAAGGCAGTTCGTTTAAAAAAATCATTGTCATTCTCTCCGTGCTTTAAGACCTTTGTGTACGATAAAGGCGACCTAGAAACTCTTGATACTAGAGAGAGGGACTTAGCAACAAGGGGATTAAATATAATCTATTACAGTGTAATCCCGGTTGTTAAGAAGCATGATTTATCATTACTATTAAAACCATGGAAACATAAATGGGGATATCTTATGATACTTACATTCTACATATTGTAAAACCGATTTTGTCCACGTGGACAGGATGTATGTTATCTAAGTTAAAAAGTAGCTCATGTTTTTCTTCATGCCATATTCTATTTTCCAGAGGTAGACATTGTACAAAAACATCGACATAATAAGGCATGGAGACCAATAACCACCTACTTATGTTTCTGCCGCTACGCAGCTATATAGTCATGTTTCAGTTTGAAGAATGGAATATGGAAGTGAAATTACAGGGCACGGCGACAAAACAACTTAGTCCTCAGAAATGGCAATGCATGACGGATACTTTGAGTGTCGGAGATGTGAACCGTGATGTCTATAAATATTTGTTACTACTACCCTTCAATTAAATCGTCAGATTATTTTCAAGTTGCGTAAAAAATTATATGAGTCAAATAAAATTCTACAAGTGACGTTAATTACTTAATGTTAGCTTATTTATTTCAAAATTATTATTTATTAAATTATAAATAAAACCAACCATTTTTACACATATAAATAAACATTAAATGCTGCACCATTTTTTTGATAAGACCATATAGATAAAAATGTCAAAACGAATTCAAAGTTAATAACAGATTGCTACTGAAATAGAACAAATATCTTCCCAAAAACGTGTAACTTTATCGTCAATTGCGTCACGAATTGTGATCTTCAATCGGCTTTGTGAGACTTTCACCTTTGGAATTTTTATTTCTCTTGTATTCCTTAACACTCAAAAAGCAATGCCAATTGTTTCGGCATCCGTTAAAATATTTGCCAAAGCCCTTTCGGCAATTTCCGTCGACGAGCGAGCTGAAGGCAGGATATTGGAAATTATAGTTGCGAGGAGACCAACAAAGCGTTCCACGTGAGTACCAAATATGACAAAACAAGTTCAAGACAATATAAACTGTGTTTCAATATAGCAACAGTCAAATTTGAATAAGATACTCGTATTTAAACACTCTTACCTTATTAGCCGCAATTGAGATAAGCGAGCGCTGGAGTATTAAGCGATTGGTTGATCGGAGGTGTGACAAATTAATATTAATATTGATGAATAGAGAGAAACATCTCAAACTATGTCATCCATGTATAAATCAATACTAATTCGTCCGTAGTATAAATTCATACCCTATTAATTTACTTCAATCAGAGTGATTAAAAAAATATTTGTATCTATAATAGTATTCGAATATTCACTACCTTTTTAACTTTTACTACATTAAAAAACATATACAGATAAGAATACTATATACTAGAGATATTTTTTTTGTAAATAAAAGTCTTAATTAACGAAGTGAGCTTAACGCGGATTTGTGAATTGTATGACGACGTAACATTATTCGGAATTTTCGGGTCACTCAAAAGGTACTTTCAGGTTTGACTTAATACTCTCAACTTGTACGCTCATGGCTTAAAATCCCAGTAGCAATATACATATAATACGTACTTGCGACAGTTTAGGGATTTCTTTCCGCCCACCCTCAAGCTATTTGCCAAAAATTCCGTGTCAACGACAATAAGAAAAATATGGCCATATTTAAACTTTCTTGACACAATTTATTGTGCGATTAGGGAACTTTTAAGGCCTTTTTGTACAACGCTTCTAACAAATTACAGAACTCACCACGTCAATAATATTTAAAACGTCGTTATCCTTCTTCTATATCATAAAGTATGGTGACGGAGTAAAAATACAATATATCATTATTAATTTTTATACCCAGGATGTGGCAAAAGGTTTTTGTCCTTTAACCAAACCAGTAATAGAAAATGAAAACTCGATACCGAGAAGAACCCCACGACGAGTTGCGTATGCGTGTTCGTGCATATATGCATAAAAGCTTGCGTGCATAAGTATTTACATGAAAGCATACATTCATACATGTTTAAGTGCATACGTGCATATGTGTGCGAACGTGCGTGCGTTTTTTATTTATTTTTTTTTTTATACAACAACGCGTGCGTGCGTGCATGCGTGCGTGAGTACGTGCGTACGTGCGTACGGGCGTGAGTGCGTGCGTGCGTGCGTGCTTGCGTGCGTGAGTGCGTGCGTGCGTGCGTGCGTGCGTGCGTGCGTGCCTGTGTGAGTGTGTGTGTGTTACAGAAAAAATAATATTCTTGTTAAAAGACTCGTATTCATTGCTGAAGCATATAATATGAAACAAATCTTTATTTTCCAATCTTTCCAATGCAGCTTCGTACAAGTTTTTAGCGAAAATTTTACCCTTCTCTAAAATTGTTATAAATATAATATTTAAGCTTGGAAAATTGGAATTCATCGTATTCAGGGACATCCTAATGATACTTGGGGTATCAACAGAAATTCATTTAGACAAATTTACTTAAAATAGTGCACTAGATTGAGTTATATGTAACTAATTTAAACAATAATACTCAAATATGCAGATACTGAAGTATATTAATGGAAAACGTACTTCAGTACATGCAAAAAATGTAAACGAAAATGAACCCTAGGCTTCAAAGTTTTTGAATAAATAATCACTTACCTGCGATACTCTTAAATACTCAAGCAATAGTAGCCCTATTTTACTGGAAATTAATAGTACTATAGAAAAAATCAACTTTAATCTTGACAAAATAAGTATTATACTAATACAGAAAATCGAACAAAAGAATGAAAATCGGATAGAAAAATTGTTCAAATAAAAACATCACCAAATATATATTCATCACTAAATTTAGTTATAGGAAAAATAATTTTACGAATAACCGGATTGGTCTTTTTAATAGAAAAAAACATAAAAATAAATATGGTCACAACTGTAATCCCTAAAAGACTGCGGTAATCCCTAGTGAAAGACATTTATCGACTATTAACTGTTGTGGACCGTATTTCACTGGGAATCTAATATGGCAGGTAGAAATCCTACCAGCGTCACTCGGACTAATTTGGCTTGTTATTGATATTTTCCATCACCGGAGAGTTAATCAGAATTTTGAAATTGACAAATTTTTTAAGTATCAACCAGATTTAAAATCATAACATTTAAAATATTCAAAGAAGTGTGATGCCTGTATTTAAAAATAATAATAATTTGACGACCTTACCTGTATAATAAGGTTTTCTTAACAGGGTCATACGTTTATTATTTACAGGACACACGCGCGGTGACGCCTCAACGTACAAATTCCATTATTTAATATAACTCGACACGATATTATGTCCGACCCTCCCTATTAAACGCCAGATACCATATGTCTTTATTATAGACCGGACGTCTTTACTCCTCAATTTTATTGTAATTATTATAATTTTATAATACTTAAAATATTTATTTTGTTCTCGATATAATTCATACGATTTTCCCCTTACCTTCATAATGTGATATACATGAAATCCTTTATTATTTAAACTTTTAGAGGAATCTTTTATAGGCGAATTCGACGTAATTGGTTAGAATTGACACCACTGCCTCTTCTCATCTAAAATACTTACCAATAAGTTTATAGACGAGAAAAACCTGAAATAATCCATTTTACCAGTACCAGCTTAAACATATTCAAAGTGCAAAAAGTAAAAGAGAGAATTTCTCTGAGTGACAGGATACAAAAATAGAATGTTGGCCAAAGAATCAAAGTCACTTATTAGAATCCCAAAAAATCGCAAACTTGTGTTGCAATAAGCTGGCTACGTAACTCGAAAAACCTCTAGCGATGGCGAGGAAAAGTTTTCCATAGAGTTATACACAAATTGAAATCGTTAGCATATTTTTAAGGGTAAGGATATTTTTTATAATTCTTTTTTTTTTTGTGTATCAGTGTAACCATACCTTTTTTTAATAAATAATAATATGAACAAAAAGAAATACAACACATAATTTTAAGCCATATTCCATACTAAGCTGGAATAGCAAAGTTAGTATGAGAATGAAACATAGGAATATAATTACCGTTCTGATATCTTTATATTGGGTTGGGTATATATATATATATATATATTACACATATGAAATACAAAAGACGATCTTATCGCTAAAGCAATAGTAACCCGAATACATTTCTATTTATTACCCACCCCTAATGAGATTCTTTTTTTGTAAATATATTCGCTTTCAGGTATAATTGATTCATATTTCACTGAAGTAGAATAGAGGGACTCTCAAATGTATTTCAATTAGTCAATTGACATAGATGACCATTTCTTGAGACGACAACGAAGACTTAATTACTTCTCACAATGTATTTTCTCTGTGTATTAAATAAATGTTTTTTTTTTTTCTCCTGATAATTTTAACAGCAAATTTGGCTACAATAGCGTGTCCGTCGTTAGTTATACGTGCATGTCGTGCGACGGGGGAGTGTTTGTAAGACACGAATTTATTGGATACCTTTTTTATGTCACGAATCGGTCTTAGTAACATTGGGGTCTTTCAAAATAAAAAAATATTTCATCCCCATCATAATGATTATACAATGATAGCGTCAGCAAAGTTAAATCTTCATAACCAAAATTAGTTAACAATTGCTAAGCAAGAACACTGTGTACTTACTAATTTATTAATAATTGTATAAATTTATCATTACTATTTCTTTTTTTTTAATTTACTAATCAATAAATATACAATTTAATTGAAAATCACATACATTATAGTATCCTTTATCTTAGTTTCAATATACTATATACAATTTATTACATATTATTAAACTACACTAGGCCACATCGTCAAATTGCATCAGGTGAGATCAATCGGAGACATTACAGGAGTAAAAAAATTAAATGACTGACTGTCTAGGGAGTCTATATGCTATACTACGTAGGTATTGACGCCTACTGACTTGTTGGGACAACTGTTTATACACAGACACCTACATACATCGATAGATGTAAACAAAAGTGCTGCTAACATCTTATTTTTTCGCGCATTTTCCTTTTAAATACAAAGTCAGGGCAGAATATTGCTGTCTTATAAAATGAAATACAGAGCTTTACACTACATATTCTATAAACAATGAAAAGTGAAATCTATTTACTTGTGTGATGGTAGCATCTTGTTCGACACCCCGGTTCATTTTCCATTGTCGTGTACCGTAAAGCAGCAATGTCTGCGTATTATTTCAGTCTAAAATTCATATTTACTATAATAACAATTTGTTATGTCATCGAGAGAATAGAATGACGATAACATAGACCACTGTTACCACAAACCTTTGGATTTTTTATATTCTCCTTAAGTTAATTTAGAAATTAGGTAATTTTTCTTAATTGTACAAAAAAATACAGTATTTATCGCCGCCATCGAGTATCTCTGCACAAAAGGTTGACTGGTAAAGAATGCCTATAGTATCATTTGTACCACATTTTATTTGTCTACGAATTTTAAATAATGTAAAATAAACATACTTAATGGATATTTTGAATAGCCCAATTTAAAAAAGAAGTGTAAGTATTCAAAAATATTAGTATCCACTCAGTATCTTCTGCATGTTCTCGATGTTCTGTAAAAACAAGCTATAGAATATTTACAATTACATAGACAATTACAATTATGTAGCCTCCATCAATGTCTTCTATCGCCTATACCATGGGAAGTGTTCAGAAGAAAATTGTTCTTATTATTTCTTTATTCTTTATTATTACTGATGGGTCATCGGTTACATCTATGCACAGTAGATCGCCCAAGCTCGCGCACAAATAAGCTTACAAACTCTTTCATGAACCATACCGTAACAGTGTGGAATGGTGTTCCCCGTGATATGTTTTCTTCGTCCCTATAACTTCTGATCCTAAAAAAGCTCTTAGTGAACCGGCATAGTGTGGCCAACCATTGAAAAAAGAACGTCCTCTTATCCATTGATCATATTCATGGACCATATTGTTTCTCTGTTCGCTCAATATGATGTGGTTACCTGCCGTGCTTTAATAAAAAAAAGGATCAACTGAACAAAACGTAATATTTAAAACCTCTGTTCTATAAATTCACGTACAACGTAAAGACATTTATTGAGGCAAAAAAGGCGAGGAAGTTTAACTTTCTTAAAAAGATATAATAGACATCAATTAAAAGTATTTTATCAGAGTCTCATGAAAATATTGCACAATCACTCGACAGTAGCTAATCTGTACTAATATAATAAAGAGGAAAAATTTGTTTATTTGTTTGTAATGGGTGAACTCAAAAACTTATAGCCGATTTTAAAAATTCTTTCACCTATAGAAAGCTACATTCTCAGTGAATAACATAGGTTACATATTATTTTCAGGAATTCTATCTACCCATGCAAAGCCGGGACGGATCGCTAGTATAACATAAATGAGCCAACCTACGACAAAAGGCTTATACAGTCCTCAGGAGTGATAACACATGAAATACGTTCTTTCAATTGAATTGTCAATATTTATTCTCAGTGAGATACTATTATATACTGTTTGATAAAGATGTCATCTTACCTTACTATAGCAACAGAAACGAAAACTAAAATATTTAGAAATTATATCTGTCTTTCTATCTGTCTATCTGTATGTTTGTTCCGGCATCACGCAAAAAATACTGCACCAAAATGAATGCAGTTTTAACATTTATATTTCTAAAAGTCTAACCGATGTATGTTTTATTAGGATATGTCAGCTAAAAGAGATCTATCTCATTGATTTTCCTACTTCTAAAATCCGCACGTACAAAGTAGCGGGAAAAGCTAGTAAAAACGTTTTTAATTACTACAATTTGATTTTATTGTTAGCTGCTTTAATGTCTATATATGCCACAAAATAAATTATTTTCTCTTTTTTCATTTTTTTTTTTAATAGTTCTGATAAATAGATGCACTTTGTAACTATTTTGTACAAAAAAAAATAAAGAACTAAAGAAAATTTTCTCAGCAAAAAGTGATACAAATATGTACCATGCATACGAAACCTGCAAAGGAAAGATTTCCTTAAATTCTTGGAAAATACTAAAAACACTTCAGCTAGAGAAAAGTATTGCAAAAATATATTTCATTTACAATTATTTTATACAAGATGCAGTTGCTTTTATTGTCACTCGAATAAACCTTGAAACGCTTTATTAAACTGTAAAAATGATATTACCTATTCTTTGTGACGTGAGAAATAATAATGTTTATGTTAATTAAATTTATTTACTCATATTGCGTATTAATAAGATTAAATTTTCCTTTGATCATTGTAGCAAAACTGAATACCGAAAACTTTAAAGGTTTCACCAAAGAATCCACTCTCCGAGGGCTTTGAACTAACTGTTCACAGGGAAATAGCAGCTAGTTCTTGTTTATTTCAAGGTTATTGAGAAAACAAGTAGTTACAGTTTAGTAAGTTCTACGATGTTACTATCTTCTTTTCAGCGAACATAACGTATACTATTAAACATGTCGTTTCATTACATATTTTGTTACAAAGTATGGTTTTGAATTGCCAATACCCTTTAAAACTTTGTATGTTAATTGAAATTTCTAACTATTATAAATCTCCAGTAATGGAAGACATCGATACCAAACTAGATCAATCGGAGTGACGACATTAAACTTGCTCTTTGTAATTTTGAATTTTTAAAGTTTAAAGAAATTCGAACGAGATCGAGTTTGAGTATTGCATTGGCTGTCAAACAATCATCAATAGTCATCAAATGTCTTTGATTATCTCTTAAGAATTTATAGTCGTGAATATTATTTTTCTGTGTCCATCGACTTCGAAAAACATTTTTGAGATTCCAACTTTATCTTATAGCAATCATCTACGTTGTATTTGCACTTTCAGAATTATAACTCTAGAATCTTATGATTCTGTCCATCCATAACCGATTCAGCTTGCTGACACTTCAAACTTTAAACTGTATTGGTCACATCAATTCTTAGTATGTTTTATAAGTATTTTACAATCCACAGTTAATATTTTACTGATAATTATTACCCATTTTTTCTGTAAAATCACTGCGAACGCGTACCTGCAGGATATTTATTCTGCAAGTATTTTAATATCTAGCTATCTTCAAAATATTTACAAAGAATTTTTTCGTGCATTTTTATATATTTTTCACAAAAATGCTTCCTTACTAAAATAATCTCAAGTAAGATTATTATACAGCTACTTCAGTTGTTTTAAATGCCCTAACACAGATGCCTTTTACTTTTTTACAGTAAGACTTCTCCGCAGATGACGACGTTGGCCTAAAAGCATTTATCCTTATCAATCTGACCTAGGTTTGAACTGTAGCACTACGATGAGTATCGAAAGACTAGATACTAAACTAAACGTAGCGACAGGTGAAAAGAATTCAAGTAATCAACAACAGCTGATAAAGCACGTGGGTGGAAAGGAATTGTTAGTACTGAAGGCTAAAGGCCCATTGACAATAGTATACCTACCCTATTAAATGTTGTTGTTAAGTTTGTCGAGTCTCCCATCCGAGAAATTGGTATTGGCGACCCGCACGCATGCTAAAGGTAAAGGAGTTAAGGAGCCGCCTGAAAATCAGCGCTATATAGGTACTTCTCGCTGGAGCTATACATCTATAGCAACAGCTGAGGCGGCTTCTATTACCAGCAACATTAATTGTTTTTTTTTTATTGTTTTAATTTTTTATTTTCTAAATACTGGTAATAAAGGTTATCTATCTATCTATCTAAATAGACTTCCACGCGGTTCTCTTTGAAAACAACCATGATTAGTTAATTCTTGTTAATTTCGTCACGATGGACCGACTCACCTGTTATCCTCATCTATCATCTCTCACCGATACCTTACCAGTATATACCGATAACACATGCGAGTTTACAATTCCATTTTCATTTCATTAAAATAAAGACGACATGCAACTGAGTACAATAAAGAGATATCTCCAAAAACGGGAACAATATTTTTACGTGCAGTGTTATGAGTGATTTTTTTATACGACTTAGAATGGCAAACAAGCTGACGGCCCACCTGATGGAAAGTGGTAACCATCACCTATAGACATGAGCAGTACCATGGACATAACAGAGTACGAGTATACTGATTCGCCCATGATATCCCCCATGCGTTGCCATTCCTGAGGACTCAGGTATTATTCCTCTGTACCCTGTAAATCCACGCCGTATCCCACCCTTCAAACCGAAACACAGCCATGCAAACACAACTGCTTCATGATTAAAACATGAATGGGACAGAGGTACCCAAGCAAACGACTTTTGTACAAAGTCTCCCAAAAGTTGCTAAGGTAAGAAGGTTCTATCGTCAGTTACTATCATATCTGGAGATGAAGGATCATTTATGACTATAATTGGAGATTATTATTACTGGAATTATTAAGATCTAAAATTTTTCTCCTTCGCGGTATATGACTACTACAATTAGTAGATTGGAGAGGGATTTGTAATTGATTTTCTTTTAACATATGGTATTTGAAATAGTACCGTTTACTTTTTCATGATTTTCATGTTTTTTAATAGTAAGGAGGTTAAGTAAATTTAAACTTTCGCGTTATTGATACATATTTTACGAAAATTGGAAAAAAAAATTTAAGAAACGTCGAAAATAAGAATCTGGTATGTTAGTACTATTTACCTGTAATTTTCGTCGCATTAAGTCTCGATTGTATTTAAAATAAGGAGGTTGGACCTCAGTGAAGATTTTAATAAATTGCACAATATTTTAGATTTATATAAATTTAGTTAGACAGCATTTTCTTTGACACCGATTAAATTTACTTTGTTATCAATATTGACAGTTTCCTAACTACATACATTTTAAAAATTTTATGTACAATAATTCTTATTTATTCTATGCTATAAATTAATAGTGAAACTTTGTATAATATCCTAATAATAAATCAAGTGACAACCCTATTGCAGTTGTTCATGTACAACAGAGCGAGTCGTACGATTCTTACCTAACGAAAGTCTTTTCATGTCATACATAATATTCCGTTCAGAGTTTTGGGTTGACATTCTAAGATGTTGTTGTAATATTCTCGTATTGACATATTCGTGTTTCAACGGTGAAGCAGTTGTGTTTGCATGGCTGTGTTTCGGTTTGAAGGGTGGGATATGGCGTGAATTTACTGGGTACCGAGGAATAACACCTGAGTCCTCAGGAATGGTAACGCATGAGGGGTATCATGGGCGAAACAGTATACTCTGTTATGTCCATGGTACTGCTCATGTCTATAGGCGACGGATACCACTTTCCATCAGGTAGGCCGTCAGCTTGTTTGCCATTCTAAGTTGTATAAAAAAAAATATATTTATGAATTTCTCGTGTTATAATGAATATTCAAAGACTAAGTAAGATGAAAATAATCGAGGGAGGTATTTGCCCAATAGTGAAGCACCATGGGCTATGATTGATTGATTAAAACACTAAAATTTAATATTTGCACCTACTTATTATATTGGTTTATTTTTCACTTTGTTCGATTTTTAATATAATATTAATAACATTTGTAAGCACTTTTTTGAAGTTACTTGAATTGAAAATACAATCAATTACAGTCGGACAATGCACTCAGAATACCTTACAAGAGATTTTAATAAATTAACACTGAACTATTATTGCAATAACAAGGTGAAAAATGTGCATTCGCTTGCTGGATTCTTCTTATGACTTAACTCTACTAAGATCATAATGATTTTTTACTTCATAGACTAATAATTTCAATATTTAATTATAATTTAAAGGTAACCTTTCATCTGTATCAGTGAATTAAACTATAACTCTCCTTTCACGTCCGTAGGATGATAAATAAAAGTCATTTCCAATTGATTAGTAGAAGAAGACAAATCTTTCACTGGTTCCAGCTATATAAAGCTGTTATCTCTTGTCGACGTGACTTCAAAGACTTTCGAGTTTATAGGATTTCGTAAACGTCTGCCAGCAAATAAATAAAGCCTAAGTAAATATGGCGGGTAAACAGAATACGCTCGTGATTTACGTTAATTAAAACTCCACCCTTTTATTTTCTTCCTGTTGTGTTTAAACAGACAGTTTGTTACGATTCGAAACATTTTTATTTAGTATCAGTTTAAAATAATACGATGAATATTTATCTGACACATCTCGAGGGATACGGGTACGTACTTTAAACATATTTTTATTGGTGGTATCGTTGTATATAATTGCGGTGTATGTCCATGTGGTAACAAAGTAAAAATATAGTCTCACTATTTTTTTTTCAACTACAGAACAGCAAAGTATACCTAGAAAAATTAGAGGAGTAACGGACAATACTAATTAAAAATATGAAGCCTCGATATAAAATCCTACACCAAAACCTCTGCCCGGCGCTCTCTCTCTGTGTGTGTGTCTCTCTTTCTCCTACAATATATAGCAATAATAGTAACCATAATGAGTACTTTATCTAAGGAGTATATTACTAAAAAGTATAAAACTATAAGTACTACTATAAGTAAGTAAGTATGTATATTTTAAGGTTATAAAAAATGTGGCAGTAAACAGAATACGCACGTGATTTACGCTAATTACAACTCCACCCTTATCATGTTCTTCCTATTGTATATAAATATAAGGTTTAGTATTAAAATTATAACTTCATAAATTATTAAAGAATATATATCTTTTTTAGACATAATTATACTGTTGGTAGATTTTCCTTTTGGCGTATGTCCATATGGTGACGAAATAAGAAGACAATCACATCTTAAGTTGATTGTACGTTACAAATATGTATTAGATACTAAAAGTTTATGTTACCTGCAAGACAACGGCTTCTCTTATTACATGTATCACCTGGATATCATCTGTTCAAATGGTAATTGCGTTTACCTACTACCTAATTCCCGCGCTTCTATTAGTTCCTGGTTCCAAG